TTTCCCATGGATCATTCATCCATTGTTCATCGGCTGGTTCAATATAGAAGATGGTTTCTTCAGTAATATTGTTAGTCGTATACTGTTCTTTAGGTTTAAAGAGGATATCCTTAACCGTTTGACTAGATTCACCTTTACTATTAAAGGCTTGGAGCCTTGGAAATTCTATTTGATAGGGATTGGACCCCCGATCATGGCCTCTGCGGCCTCGGCTTTTGTTGGTCATGAGTTTTCTGGGCCCTGCAAATATTCACGAGTTAGAAAATCGGGTAAAGAGTTCTGCTCATCTTTGATATATTCAATATCAAAGTCAAATACTAATAAAATAGTTTGCCAGTAGCAAATATCTGTTTAGATGCTAAGTTTAAAACATCTTTTTTAAAAATCTGTTTAGTGGCAGAGCAATCAACTCTAATAAGAAAATACTGGTTAAGAAGATCATCTTGGAATTTTAAAACACATTTAACAATGGCTAAACATTCCTGTTTAATGGTTGGATAATTCAAAGCCGGTCCGTTCCAACTACTGGAGTGAAAACGTAAAAGTTCTTCTGTTGATGTGGTAGGATTAATTTGTTTTAAAATACCACCAAAACCTTGGTTAGAAGCATCGGTTTCAACAATTTTCTTCCATGATGGATTAGGAAGATGAAGGCAAGGAAGTTGTTTGACCTTAGCCTTGATTTTTTGTACTGCTTGGGTATGGTCTTCAGACCAAGGAGGAGGATTTTTCTATAATCTGGTATAAAGGATAGATGCATCCTGGGATAACTGATGGTAATAGTCACGAATATAATTTAAACTACCAAGAAAGCGCTGTAATTGAGTTTCAGAAAATTTAGATGCAAACTCGATACTTTGGTTGATGGGTATAATACTGCCATTATGAATGTTATGACCCAAAAATCTTACTGTTGTGTGAAAAAGTTTCATTTTGGTGCAGATATGACTAAACCATTTTTGATAATAACATGTTTAAATATATTAAGATGTTTAATATACTAGTCAATAGAAGATGAAAAAAATAAGAACATCATCTATATAATAGATAGCAAATTCTGTATAAGGAGTAAAAATGTCATTCATAATATGCTAAAATTCTAAATGAGCATTTTTCAAACCAAATGGCATAACATTCCATTCAAAATGCCCAAAAGGTATTGTAAAAGCAGTTTTATATTGGTCCTGTTCAACAATTTGTACTTGCCAATATCATGATTTAAGATCAAACTTAGAAAAGATAACAGCATCCTGTAAACGATCTAAAAGATCTTTTTTCTTCGGAAGAGGATATCGAATCCATTTTAAAGCATCATTAAGAGGTTTTTTGTTGATTACCAATATTGGCACACCTCTTTCTATTTCTGCATTTTTATTAACATAAAATGTTGTACAGCTCCAAGTAGAGTGGCTGATTCTGATAAAAAAAATTCTAGATGAGAGAATTAATTTCTGTTTTGCAAAGTTCAAGATAATATTTTTTCATTTGACTTAGTTTCTGCTCCAGAAACTTCTGAACAGAAAGATAATCAGTATTGGATGCTTGTTAATCAGGTTACATTTCAGAAATGGTATATCCGTATTACTTTTGTTATTCAACCTGATTTTATTTTCAAAGATGCAGTTGCTCTTGTTGATAGTGGCGCTGACATGAATTGTATACATAACGGATTAATTCCAACCAGATATTTCCAAAAAACTACCCAGTCACTTACTAGTACTAGTGGCAATTCTATGCATATCAAGTATAAAATACCTGGAGCTCTTATCTGTAACTAGGGCATATGTTTATCTACATCTTTTGTCCTTATCAGAAACATGTCCCCAACTATTATTTTGGGAACACCATTTTATGTCTCTTGATGCCTATTACCAAGATTGATCCCATAGATATTCATACGACTATTAGTAACTAGCCACTTATTTTTAAATTTATAACAGAACCCTATACAAAACAACTAGATCAAATCCGTGATCTAGTTACTTTTAAAGAAAAATAAATTAATTTTCTTTAAACTGAAATTCATTTTCTTACAACTGAACAACAGTTACAACAACCTTCTTCACAGAATAAAATCAAGCTTATTGAAAAGAAATTTCAAATAGAAATTTGTAATGATCTTCCGAATGCTTTTTGGGAAAGAAAACGACACATTGTTTCTCTGCCTTATGAACCTGCTTTTGATGAAAAATTCATTCCAACCAAAGCTCGCCTTAGTCAAATAAAAAAATATTATCTTGAACTTTGCAAAAAAAAAAAATTAATTCTCTCCTCCATAAAAAATTAATTAGAATCAGCCACTCTCCTTGGAGTTGTACAACATTTTATGTTAATAAAAATGCAGAAATAGAAAGAGGTGTGTCAAGATTGGTAATCAACTATAAACCTCTTAATGATGCTTGAAAATGGATTCGATAACCCCTTTCGAATAAAAAAAATATTTTAGATCGTTTACAGGATGTTGTTATATTTTCCTAGTTTGATCTTAAATTAGGATATTGTCAAGTACAAATTGCTGAACAGGACCAACATAAAATTGCTTTTACAGTATCTTTTGGGCATTTTGAATGGAATGTTATGCCATTTAGTTTGAAAAATACTTTTTCAGAATTTCAGCATATTATGAATGATATTTTTACTTCTTATACAAAATTTTCTATCTATTATATAGATGATGTTCTTATTTTTTCATCTTCTATTGACCAGCATATTAAACATCTTAAATATATTTAAGCATGTTATTATCAGAAATGGTTTAGTCATATTTGTACCAAAAATGAAACTTTTTCAGGCAACAATAAGATTTTTGGGTCATAACATTCATAATGGTAGTATTATACCCATCAACCGAAGTATCGAGTTTGCATCTAAATTTCCTAATGAAATCAAAGATAAAACTCAATTACAACGCTTTCTTGATAGTTTAAATTATATTCGTAACTACTACCATCAGTTATCCCAGGATGCATCTATCCTTTATACCATATTACAAAAAAATCCTCCTCCTTGGTCTGAAGACCATACCCAAGCAGTACAAAAAATCTGAATAATGTTATTATAAAATATTTAAGTAGAGTCAAAGCATGATTGAGTAAATTTACTTGGAGAGTTTAAATCATAGTATCAATTTTTTACAAAACACAAAAATCTAAATAATGTTACTATAAAATATTTAAATAGAAATTTCTTATTAATATAATTGAGTATAAAAATATGATCATGAATTGAGCATATTTTATTGTCTGCATTAAATTACAAAAAATTTAAAATAAAATAGAAGAAATAGAAACAATGATAAATATAATCAAATGTGGCACATGGATATGGATATGATCCTTTTTAACGAGAAGTTATTGGTTGGTTCTGGGATATCGTCACGTGATATCTCATATGTATTCTGATTGGTGGAGAGGGTAGGACTTACAATTTTGTATTGGATGATTAATAAACATGAGGAGACATGAGAGTTTGTGATTGGCCAAGAGTAAGGCACGTGATGTTTCTAGACCAACCAATATTTTTTCATTTTTAACATATACTTCTCTTTCCCCTTACATTCTTCTAAGTTTTATTTTCATTCTTGTCCTTAATTCTCCCTTTTTTTTTTTGGGAGTTGTTCATGACCAAATTTATCTTCTGTTGCTATGAATAATTCTTGATAATATTGAATGAAAATTGAAGCTTAATTATATATAATTCTCAGGGGAATGCATACAGAGTATGGATGAATAGTCATGTGAACTAATTCCTCAGTTTAAAAAACTAAAAATAGATCATAACATTAAAACTTTTTAAATTTCTCATAACTTATATAGTAACCCTATTCAACAACATAAAAATTAAGTATTATTCTCTTCATACAAATCAACCAATGAACCTAAATGCTCATTATGTGACTTTACACATTATAAAATTGGAAGAGAAAAAGATTGAAATATGGATCTAAAGTTTTGAAGTGCATGTAGTTCCCCAAGACTTCTCTTCTTCATAGTCTTTCCCTTCATATACAAATTTCATTTATGATCCACATCCCAATAAACCAAGTATTTCCATATATTAATTTTTCAGTTTGCACACAATTCAGTAAAATAATTAGACATAACTATTTCACATGAAATAAAACTTATATATTTATTAAAATCTACCTTATGTGAAAAGTGTTGGAAATGGTAGAAAAATTCTGAGTAAAACCATAATTTTTTCTCAAGTTTGGTCTATTTGTTAGGTGGGCCCCGAGTGTCGATTTACTCGGGTCAAAGTGGTAACGCGTTCTATGCCGCGTTGTGATTCACGTGGTATATTTGGTTGCTCAAAACCATTACCGAGTGAATGGGAAATTGAAGCCAAAGTGTGCTCCATGAAAATGGAGTTTTGGTGGAAATTCCTTAAGTTCAATTCAAATCCAAGAGCCACCTTCACATCTATAAATAGGACCACCCTCATTTGATGTTTTCCATTCAGAAATTTCGTATTTCACCTCTGTTAATTCTATTCTTCATCTTGCTGCATTTTATTTTCGAAAGAAATAGTGTAAACACTTAGTGTGTTCGTAAGGCAAACAATTTGTAGTGCTGCTATTGTTTGTGGTAGATCATTTCATCCTGGGAGATAGACGTTCAAATTCTGAAAGCACCATGGAGAGGACGAATCTGTCTTAAGGACACAGTGTCAAACACTAGACTTGATCAGAAAATAATTCGAACAAATTAAATCAAGTAAGTTATTTAATTTATTTTCAATGTTGTTTTAATTTGTTAAAATCAGATTTAAATTTTGTTTTTGTAACAAAATAAAATCTGTGGTTTTATTTATTTATTTTTATTTCGAGTTTGATTTTTGTAATCAAACAAATTCTCTCATTTTTCTTTATTTCTTTATATTCTTGTTGTTGTTTTGTACACAACAAAATTTAATATTTTTAAATACAGTGAAAATTGTCCAACAAAAAGATTATATTCAATTCTATACACTTTCAATTTTTCTTAATTCATATGATGAAATTGTATCCCAAACCACATCATCATTGATACTTGACAAAAATATTATTTGACCTAAATAGTCAACGACTCCCCATAACGCTTGCTCCTAATACTACTAATTATCATAGCCGCATACTCAGCCAGCCCAGACCCTGGCTGAGGCATCATCATCTCCACATCCGCCAATCCGACCGGACTCCTACCGCCACCACCACCACCCTCCTTAGCATTAAGCTCCGCCAATGCCTTCCTCTTCCTATACCGCCTCCACGCCGCCTGTATAAAACACGCTCCCCAAGTCCGCCACTGGTGAGAATAAAACCTATACTTATGTCTAATTCTCTTGCTATGCAACCTGTGAAACTGCGACGCAACAAACTTCAAGTCCTCGGCTCCGAGAGCGAAGGCTTCGACGTCGGAGATAGTTTTGATGGTGCGGGTGGAGGAAGGGAGGGTGTCGGCGGGGCGGGTTTTGAGAGCCCATGTGAGGAGTTCATCGCCGCAGAAATCGGTTGGGCCGAGTTGGCAGGAGTTGAAGAAGCCGACTTGGCCACCGTTGGTTGTGTAGGAGTAGAGGTGGCCTCGGATTATGAAGATCATTTCTTCGAGTGGGTCTCCTTCGCGGACTATGAACATGCCTTCGGTCCACAGACTCGGTTTGAGTCTTTCGCATATTGAATCCAGTAGCCGATCGTCTATTTCATCCAATAAGGGGACCTGTGGTGTTTTTCACAATGTTATGTCTAATTCATCATATTATTTCTTTAAAATCATATTTCTCATTTATTTTGTGATAAATTATATGATAATAGTTATTAGATGGATGTAATTTTTTTAATGAGTTATCTACACAAAAGTTTAAAAAATAAAAAGATTAAATTATTAAAATGAAATTTGTGATGAACCCAATTGACTGGCGTGAATATGTTTAATTTATCTTTCTAATTAGAAAAAAATTGGATCCAAAAAAATAAAATAAAATTCTCAACCAAAATAATGTGACCGCTTGTGATACTTTCGATATTTTAAAGAAAAACACATACTATTGTGACTTACAATTTCAAAAAAGAGATGATATACATCACTTGATAATTTTATCAAAATTTTCTTCTCCTATATAGATAAACGCAACAAATATCATTTGCACATATACAATTCACCATATCCAATAAAAAAAAAATTGAGTTCCATCATTATTTTTTAATATGGTGAATCCTACATTGCATTATACGTGGTATTCATTATGTGGATCCAAGTGTGAGTTAAAAAAATATCAAAATAAAATAAGTGATTTTCATTAGGTGGCATAAAAAATGACACTGACACGTTATTTTAGAAAGACTTTCTTTACAAAACTTCTGTTTATTATCATTTTTGCTGGAAATTAATCTACACATAACAAAAAGATTAAATTTTTTTTTTTATTAAGAATGTACATTATTAATAATATTCTCTCTATCGCAAAATAATAATCCCTTTTGTGGAATTGAATTTTTTTTGATAATACAATTATTACACTTTAAAAATATTAATTTTTTAAAATTACCCTTTGATAGCACATTTTTTTAGGAATATCAATTGTCATAATTGTACTTTTTGTATTATTAATGAATTTAAAAGAATGAAAAAATAAGAAATTTAAATTATTTTAGTCTTTGATTTTGAAAATAGACTAATATTTTGAGGTAATAAAAAATAAAATCAATAACAAGAAATATATATACTTACACGTCTAACAAGATTGAGGGATAAGTGGCGTTTGATACGACGTCGGAGATCCTTAGGAAGATCAGTGAGGAGAGCTTCTTCATTGACACCTTGGGTAGCCACCCACTTGTATCTATCATACCTCCTCACTTTCTCTCTTAGTTCTTGGGGTAGCTGCCTGTGGTGCATCCACTGCTCTTTATCACTTTTCTTCACCCTCCACTCCTCTATCCTTACTGTTGTTGATTGTATATATCTCTGCCCAATTTCATAACATCATTACTGTATTAATTTAGATTTCCTTTCAAATAATAATTTAAGCTGTTCTTTTCTTTAATTCCCATAAATATATGATTGTACAACCATAAATACATGATGTTTGGATTGATGTTGATGGATTAGTTTTGAAAGTGTTAGGTTTTATTCTTGGTAATCCTGTTTGACGAAACCCCTTTCAGTTGTAATTTTATTCGATCTTTTATTTCAATGAGGCTATCAATTTTTAGACGCGAATCCAACCTGAATTGTGCCTATGCAGAGGAGTTTGTGATATAAATCCTATTATGTTTGTCACTTCACTGACTATGTGGGGGATCGAACTGTCCGATCAGTTTGTGGGAATCCAGGGGGTAGCGCCCCTTGGCGGGTCCAGGATAGTGCCCTAGCGGGGTCGAGGGGCAACACTCCTGAAGCAAAATGCAAAAATGCATTCGAAGTTGTTTGTTCGCTCGAGCGGCCGTTTGTACGCTCGAGCGTGCTCGAGTGAAGAATGTTTGGCTCTAGAAGTTTGACCTATCTGCAAAAGTACTGGAAGTTGGGATTGTACGCTCGAGTGAACTTTCCTACACTCGAGTGAGATCCGCTTGAGCGGTCATTCTTGCGCTCGAGCGGAGAACGCGATTTAGTTTTCTATAAATATGTGTTTCAGTCAGATTTTAGGGTACAACTTCCAGATCTTCTTTGAGGGTTCTAGGGTTTTCCTCTGGGACTATTTTGCTAGTTTTCTTTAATGTTTAATTGAGTATTTAACTCATGATTTAGAAGTATACATCAAATGATTGTTTGTTTATTCTATACAAAAGAAAGAGTTATTCCTCGGTGGATTCCAAGAAATTTGGACCTCAAGCTTTGGTGGATTCTGAAGTGGCTCATCGTCGTGGATACGACATCGGCGTTGTGGATTTAACGTTGGGTAAGACGATTCGGAGGTAAAGACCATGGTGGAAGAGACATATAGGGGTCGGTTCAATTTGGGCGTGAATTTGCTAGATAATTGAGAGTGCACTTGTATAATTATTTTTGTTTTCTTAGTGAATTGTTTTATGACTTTTGCCCACGGTTTTTTTATCACAATTGAAGGTGCTCCAATTTTAATTTTTTCACGTTAAATCGTTGTGTTGATTTGTCTTTGATTGTTTGATTAGGATTGCTACTTTTTGTTACAGATTGGGATTGCTACTTACTCATTGAAATTGATACATAACTATAAATTAATATTTAAGGAATTTCTAGATTTTTCAAAAAGATTCATGTTCAATTGCAAATAAGTAATCCAATGTTCAATACTCGCAACTTTGCTATAATTTAAGGCATTCTTTTAAGAAAAAACAAATTTCATCATTTAAAACCTCAATTTAGTGATTTTGTTATATTTTAAAGAAGTTTTTTTATTTATTTATTTTTTGGCAATTATGTTCTCTAAGAATTTTAGTTTTTGGTTCTACTTGTTTTAGCATGATCCTTTTAATTTCTACTATTTAAATTTGAGTTTAATTGAAATTTGTCAGTGTTTTTTAATTATTTAATTTTTGGATTTTAGTTTTTTTTAATTTGATTTACAAACAAGTCGCCAATGGCCTTATGGTCTAGTGACATCACTTTGATTGGGGATTTCAGGGGTTCAAACCTAGTAGGGGAATGGGCATGTGGGGGCGAGGTATTTGGGAGATTTCACATATAAGAAAAAAATATCATGATAATTAAAATTTTATAATGATGTTTTGTTAATTAGTTTTTATTTTTATTTTTATGAGGTGCAAAAAAATTAGTATATTTTATGTGTCAACGCTACATTAATAAGTATGAGTGATAAGTTCCATTAAACAAATGTACCAGTTACAAATAACGTAATGAATGAATTGTGATTAAAAAATGTGATTGTAACATTATTGAATATAAATAAAATAATTATCAAAAAAAAAAAAACAAAGAATTGTCCATTATAGTTGTGTCGTAGTAGGAAAAATTAAAGAGAGAGGATCAAAGAGCAGACGCAAACAAAGATTGGTGGTGTATAGAGAGAGAGAGAGAGAGGAACTAACCTGCATATTACCGATGAGAAAAGCCATGTTAGTCAGGCCAAGCATGACTATGACTGTGCAATATATATTCTCCCCTATAAATATGCTTGTCGTTAAATTCTGCCCTGTTGTGCTGCACATTTATACCAATCAATTCAAATTAACCATTGAAAAAAATTTATGAAATCAAATACGAAATCTCGTATTTTGTGTTCGATTCTATGATTGATCGATTGAATGTAATTTTTACCTGACACTTCGGAGGCCGAACCAAAGGGCGTAGAAGTATCTTGAGAAAAAGCCAGCAGTAGTGAGGCCACTACCAACTCCAGGATTGTAAATCCCATAAGGGTAACTACCATTGTTTGGATTACAAAGATCTGTGATACTGCTAGCTTGTATCCAATCATCCCTACTAGTACTATTAATTAAGTCCCTTATTTTATTGCATTCGAAGAATTCATAGTTACATGTTGTATTGTATTCGTCGCATAGGCTTCTCCAGCATGCTGCTTCTCTCTGTACGGATAAAAGGTACCCACAACTTCCCATTATCTATTCTCCAAACAAAACAAAAAAAAATTAAATAAGGAAAAAATTTGTAATCAATCACTGCTTTAAAACAAGTTGGATTGAATTTAAAGATTTTTTTTTTTTTTTGAACAGATTAAACATAATTTTTTTATGCAATTGTAACTTTGTAAATTTTATTTTGTGTTATTTGTATAACATATATGGTTTTTTTTTTTTTATCGGCAAAAAAAAAAAGAATTTATTAATGAAATCAACATACAGTACATATGAAGGTATATCAATATAGGGGAGGTAAGAGTAAAAAGTATCAAAGTATAATTTCTTAATACCAATTGAGTTGGTACGAAGAACGGTTGTTAGTTTGTTTAATTAAATAAATGAGTGATTTTTTTTTTTTTTTAAATATATGCAACCAACAAGTTTGAAACACAAGACACCATTATGAGTTTTTAAATATTAAGAGGGGAAAAAAAAAAAGAAAAAAAAAAGAAAGAAGAAGAATACTAGAAGTAAAGTGTTGCATTATAAATTAATGACATGAAATAGTTTACAATTGAAATAATTTTTGTACAATCTCTTTATAACGATTTGAAAATAGTATAAAATTTATATTTGATCATATTAAAAATTATTCAAAACAATAAAAAATTCATTCTACATCCCGGGTGATTATTCAGTACTCCTGGAGTATGGACACGTGGTGCTTCCATAAGGTTTTGATTGGTGGAGAGCCACAAGGGCCCACGATTTATGTTGGACATGGGGGGACAACATGGGGCTAATTAATTGTTGATTGGTTTGGAGTATGGACACGTGGTGCTCCGGGAGTATTGAATAATTTCTCCTAAATCCCAACAATTATGAAACAAAAACGTACTGATTTATGAATTTTTTTTTTTAAAAAAAAAAAAAAAACTTAGGGCTCAAGTTACTGCAACCATCACGCTACACTAGTAACGGTGTCACATCTGCCATCACCGAAATACATTAGGATCAGTTCAAACATGAAAAATGCTTGGGAGCACTAATTAGTGCTCCCACTAATTAGGTGGCAGTGGGTCCCGCCATTAATTATGTGATGTTTTGGTCTTGGAGTTGTGTTTTTTTTTTTTTTTTTTTTTTTACTTTTTTAATGCATTAGTGCTATTAGTGGTGATGTTTTTAGTGGGATGAATCATTGTTGGTTCAAACATATAGTATTTTTAAGGTGATGACGACTTACATGGCTTGACAATAAGTATAACATGAGATTATAAGCAGCCCCAAGCCAAGCAGCCTCGGTGACGATCCCGGTTGCTTTAGCAATTTGAATGCTAAGTGGATAAGCTACAAACAGCCGTGGGAGGTACTGTATCATCATAACAAACCATAGGGAAGTTTTGAAGTTGGAAGTCATCGAACCTTTCAGATTAGGTATTATGCCCCAAATCAACACCTGAAAATGTATTATTATTTACATAAATTAATTATATGGTTATAACTGCCTTGAAAGAACACTGTGATTAATATAAATATGATGGTATGCTGTCTTTCATAATAAAATATATATATATATATATATATATATATATTTTTAAAATTAATTAATATGATGTTTGAGAAGAAAGGCATGCGCAAACTGAGCCAGGTGGATTTTTATTTGTCAACCTATTAATTATTCATATTGTTTCTAGTTTTCTTCAAACCTAAAGCAATAACTACTTTTTTTATTTCATGATAATAATAATAATAATACTTAAAATGATGCAACTAAGAAGGCTCAAGAGGTGAGATCCTTTGTTCCGGTGGCATCTCATGTCCTTGTAAGCATTTTTCTATCATACAATGAGTCTTTTTGTTGTAATCGAATGATGGATGGATAGTGACTTTATGATGAAAAGGACTTGAATAGAGAATTTCATCAATTGGGGTGGTTGATCATTTACTTTTTGAATTTATATGCTAACTTTAATTTATATATTATTATTTCACTAATTATAATAATAGCTTAAACTGTTAAAAGAAGTGAAATAAGTTTAGGAATTCAAAATTTGTTCTCAGATTTGTATTGAACCTGTTTATTATGATATTTATGTGTAGAATGAATTTATACTAGATATTGGTATTTTTGAGTAATTTTTTGGATAAGATTTTTGAATTTGTAGTATTACGGTAAGAAATAAAATTAATAATTTATATGTAGTTTACGAAATCTCATATTGTACATTGAGAAATGAACAGATGAACGAAATAATGCGCATGAAGACATTGTAAAAAGAGTGTACAATGACAAAACTTGAACCAACACCTACTTAGATCAAATCACTAGAAATCATCAATATTATCTCAAAAAGTTTAAATTGTAAGAAATAGAACAACAAAACTAACACACATACATACATAATTTAGTGTGTCCATGGAATATTTTCATATGTGGAATGACATTCATGTTGCAAATCACTAAAATGCTTCAAATTTAACTTCATTTAAGGAAACCAAAATGTTGAAAGTATTAAAACTGTTTTGAAAACATAAACAAAAAAGAGATGATGAGAAGTAGAAACATGCCTGAGGAACAGGAAGCGCAGCAAGAACATCAAACCAGAAGTCCTTTCTGATGTATCGTGCCGTGATCTTCCATGGATCGATAACAAGTTCTCCTCTCCCAAAAACCCGAGAAGACGGTGCAACATAGGCTGTTCTGAACTTGACAACAATATTAACAATAAAGAATAAATCAGTGATGGATCGAATAACAGTGAGGACTATTTCCAGAAGAACCCCGGTTTCGACGCAGAGCTCGGGGTCGACCTTGAGGACGAAGAAGAAGATAGGATCGAAAAACAGGGAAACCAAACAGGTCGCTAAAAAAACGTTGCTCCATCCTCGGACAAATCGACCTCGAGGGTCTATGATGGTTTTTTTCTTGACTTTCTCGAAGTCTTCCGAGAAGACCCGAGATAGGACTTTGGATTTCAGGGATTTTCCACTGCAGTTGAATTTGAAAATCTGGTTGTGTTTGGTTGCTGAGAAAATTTCTGGTTCGGAATCCGACTGGGTTCTGAGAATCAATATATTAAATTTGAAGTTAGGATTTGAATGTTATTGAAGAAAGATTTAATGGAAATAGTAATGAAGAAAGGGGAAGCTTGGACGTACCTCTTGGAACTTGAATTCCCAAAACTCATGGTGGTTATAAAATTAAAGCTTCAACTGAGGATGGGTTTTGATTTGATCAGAGGATACACACATGGATTCTTTAAATTTATAGACCCTTTTGCCAGGTTCTTTGGTTACGCAACGTGTGACCATAATTTATACAAATATACAATGACCAAAAAAAAAAAAAAAAATCAATTTGTAGTGTTTCTCTCATGTGAGTGTTTTGAGAATATACTTAAAAATTAATTTTTTGACTTTTTTATATGAAAAGTGATATGACCTAAATTTAGTGAAAAGCTAACTTTTGATTTTTTTATAATGTTCCCAAATGATTTTTTTTAGAAGTGTAAATTACACTTTTTCTCTTTTATATTCAGCTAATTTCTCACTTTAGTCCTTAAAATTTATTTTTTCTCACTTTAATCCTCTATGTTTTAAGTTTTTCTCAATTTATTTCAAAAACTATTTTCTGTTAAAAATTAGGGGTTGTTTGGAAATAAGCTAACTTTTTACTTTTTATAAAAAAATATGCAATGTAATAAATAGATAATATAACCCAAATAAGATAAAAAGTCATGTTATTTTAGTAGGTTGCCAAACAACTCCTTAGACAGAAAATGACACATTGATAGTCACGTGGTATAAAAATATTTTATTATATATGACTCACATCTGATATAAACTTAAATTTTAATATAATAATATATTTTTTATATTATGTGACATTATTGTGGTGTTTTTTTGTCTAATTTTGAACATAAGTTGTGGGGAAGTGGTTTTTGGAACGGGTTAGTGAAAGGGTATGGCTTCTGTCCAGTCCGGGATCGGACTGGACCGTGCTATTGGGCCCGTGGGGGCCTACCACGGGTTCTATTTTGATAATCTGAACCGTTCAATATGTAGAACTCGTCGATTACTATACGCCTGTAAAAAATCACGTTGATCAGATATCGATAGCTATATGATCAAATCAGTTTCGTATTAAAAAACTGGACGGTGAACAAATTAACGGTTAACAAAAAACTGTTTTGATCACATAGCTATCGATATCCGATCAACGTGATTTTTTATAGGCATATAATACTCGACGATTTCTACACATTTAACGATTCAGATTATCAAAACGGGACCCATGGTGGGCCCCCACGGGCCCAATAGCACAGTCCAGTCCGATCCTGGACTGGACAGAAGCCATACCCTTTGGAAATACTCTTCTGATCCTCGGGGACGCTCGTGATCCACCGATAAGCACTTGAAAGGAAGTAAACACTCCGGTCGGGGGTGTCGAAATTAGCACTCCGACGGACAAGTCAGTCTCTCGTTCTAGATTACTTGTATTCTAAGTTAAACGCCACAATTATCACATATCTCTTTCTGGCTGATGTCTCTTCTATTTATATCTTTTCTTCTTTGGGCCTCGGGATTAGTTCCAAATCCAACCTCATATTCGGCATATTTTGTAATACACCGATCTTCACTCGGTCCCTTGCTTAATCATTATCTAGCCGAATAAGGTTGGGCCCGAGTTTCTGTGGCAATAGCCGAATGTTTCGAATCTTGATTCTTCAATGTTCGACTCTCCGAAATCTCTACGACTCCCAATATTCGGCCCCCATAATTTCCCCCCAAGTACTCCACTAGCGGCAGTTGGCTGGAGTGTTTGGCTTTGAACTCGAAGAGTCAGAGCCGAAATTCGGCGGCTGATCGTATTCCAATGCGAATGTCTGTCCACACGCTTCTCGGTTATCATTTCAACTTCACACCTCTTCGTACACTCTCATTTATTGTGATTTAAAATTTCGACGTCTTTTCAAATAGATACACGCTTTTAGACACTCATCGCTGGATTGCCTTCCGAACTACCTCTGCGACCTCCTAATCTTCTCTACCCCTTTCGCCACTTGTAAGTTCTCTCATTCTTTGCTTTGTTTTTTGGTTTAGCATAATCATATTGGCTAGGGAGGATGGCGAAACATTTAAGAGATCTCCTCTCACCGGATCGAATTTCTGGCTTCCGACGTCATTTTTCCATCCCTGATGACGTCCGTCTGTCTTTTGTGGCAGATGGCACCCTTGATATGGGGAGGGTTGATGAAACCACAACCGTCTTCCCTCTTCTATCAATCGCAGGGGGCTGGGTCCGTTTCCCCCTTCACCCACTCCTTAGGGCCGTGCTTTGCCATTGGGAGTTAATCCCTTCGCAGCCCAACGTTAATTTCTTTAGGATTGTGATGGGGATTGTCGCACTAAACCACCGCCTTGGGCTTAACCTTGGCATCCCCGCTATTCGGCATTGCTACGCCTTGGCCAAGTCTTCTGGTCGGCATGGGCGGAGCCAAAGACACCGACCATCAACTAGTGACTATGCTTTCCAGCTCTGGGAAGCGAGTCGATGATGTTATGGTCGTCGTCCAAGGAAACTGGGAATTCGGCGAAGACGGGGATCGCCTTGATCGTATTCCTAGACGGAGGGGCGAACCGGGTGGTCGAGTACCATCTTTATTCATTTGTTAAATTTATAAAGCTTCATTTTTGGGACCTTATGGTTTTGCTTTTACAGGGAACGATTTGAAGAAAATCTTGACCTCAACTGACGACGCCGTCCTTTCAGAAATCAAGACTGCGCTCAAGTACTTCGGCCGACGGAGTCTTCAGAAGCAGGGAAAGGCGGCCCACGTTCTACTCCGCTACGAGCCGACTTATACGACCTTTTCGGCGGCGGAAAATATCCCAATTCCGATCGGTGAGGAGTTTTTTATCGCCCGTATCTTGACTGACTTCAAGAATTTGAAGCAAGTCGGCTGCGAGGAATCAGATTCGTAGCAACCGAAAGTAGTTGATGCCGCCGAATTAGACGAAGCCGAAACAGAGGTTGACGAGGCTTTGAAATTAGCATTTGAGGAAGCCAGCCTCAATTCGGTTGATAATCCGTCCACTTCGGGTCGAGAGGACTGCCCACTTGACGATATTTTTCAAGGTCTGGAGGATCTTCCCGGCGCGTACCCAGAAGATATGGCTGGGCTAAGCCTCACTAAGCTTGCCAAGAAAGCAAACGCGGAAAGGATAGCTACGCGGCGAAGGGCGGAGGAGATTCAGGCTGCCGAATCTCAGTCTCAGTCTCAGTCTCAGTCCTCCCTGCCCGTTATTGAGGAAGTGACGGCGAAATGAGGAAGCACCGAAACGGAACCCTTGGTGTAGGCCAATGTAGAAACTGAGCAAATGGTAGAGAAACGCCCTGCCGATGTCGAGTCGGCTCAGAAGAAGATCGCGCTGACAAACGGCCTTGTTTGGAGGAATCGGATGTGATTGTACCTTTTGTTATTCAGATGAAGATGAAAAATACGCCGATCTTCTCTGATGCTTCGGTAATCAAAGATCCAGCGGTTGCACTTAGTTTGGCGACGTCCGTTTCACTGTCTGCTGATAAAGCGACTTCTCGATTGAAGCCGGATCTGGTTGTAATCGCATTGGCCACTCAATCGGCTCTTTTGGTACATATCTTGACTCTGTCTTTTCTCCTTACACATTATTTTGGTTTTAACTTCCTGTTTTGCAGACCGTCAGAAGGATAGCCGACATGGGCCGTCGCTATCATGATGCCGTGGAGCAGATTGGCCGTTTACAAGCGGAGGTTGAGGGCCAAAGGAGTAGGGTGCAGATCTAGGGCGCTCGTGCCGAGGCCGAGTTGGAGAGAGCCCGTAATGCTGAAGATTTGAGATCGATCGCCGAGGAGAGGGCGAATACGAGCGACGCCGCGCTTAAATTGGCCTAGGAGGCGAATTCTAAATTGAAGGCTGAGTTGGAAAAGATGAAGGCCGCGAAGGAAACAGCTGACCTGAAGGCTTCCAGCGCATTTGATGCCGAGAAAAAATCTGCTTATGATGAATACGTAGACAAAGTCCCCAAGTTTGAGAATCGGGGCTTTAAACACGGCTGGCTCAAAGCCCTTGCTGCCGCTAATATGTCTTTGGCTGCGCTAATTCTATATGAGCAAGTGGATGTTGAACCGCTGAAGTCTCATTCCGATGGCTGATTTCAAAGGCGCTTGTTTTTTGTTTTAGGATTTGCGTGTATTTTTTAGCTTTTTACAATTTCTTGCTTAGTAATTTTCATATGTAAAATGGTTACAATTTGTGCCCAATTTACTTAATGAGAATTCATTTTGTACCTCGCTGTTACTGATGAATGGAATTGCTTTGGGTCAAATGTTGTATAATTGCCGACTAAATGATTAGGACGTTTTAAAAGCCAAAAATTGGTGAATGAACTAGCCGCGGCGCATATCGACCGACATGAGGTCAGGGTACACGGCCGGCTAGATTAATAAATCTGCCCTTGCCCCAGCCAGTGCATGAACTTCAAAGGCAGTGACCAAAAATTGCCGTTTAGATAGTTAGGCTGTTTTAAAAGCCAAAAATTGTTGAATGAACTAGCTGCGGCACATTTCGATCGGCATGAGGCCAGGGTACGCGGCCGGCTAGATTAATAAATTTGCCCTTGCCCCAGCCAGTGCATGAACTTCGAAGGCATTGACCAAAAATTACCGCTTAGATAGTTAGGCCGTTTTAAAAGCCAAAATTTTATGAATGAACTGGCTGCGGTACATATCGATCGACATAAGGCCAGGGTACGCGGCTGACTAGATTAATAAATCTGCCCTTGTCCCAGCTAGTGTATGAACTTCAAAGGCATTGATCAAAAATTGTCGTTTAGATAGTTAGGCCGTTTTAAAAGCCAAAAATTGGTGCATGAACTGGCTACAGCACATATCGATCGGCATGAGGCCATGGTACGCGGTCGGCTAGATTAATAAATCTGCCTTTGCCCCAACCGGTGCATGAACTTCAAAGGCATTGATCAAAAATTGTCATTTAGATAGTTAGTTTGGAGAGTAACGTTAATGAAATTGCCTCGGGGGCACTGCAAGTATTAGAAATAAATGGGGGGTGGCTGTTTGCGCCACTAACTTCGCTTACTGTGTTTTCAAGGCAACTTATCGCGAATGGCAAATAGAGTTTTCTTCAACAGTAGAGGCGAAGGTCGAACTTTGGCTGAGCTTGATACTGCAATGAATCGCGGCAGAGAAGCCACCCGTGCAGGAAGTGGGCCGTCCAAAGAACGGGAAAAAC